CAAGCTGTCCAAACGTTTGGAAGATACATCGTAAGTCATAATCGCCGTCATGAGTACCCTTCGTGTGTTTCTGTCTTTGGGGCCATATCGGGCGCATGATTTTCGCCACATCTCGAAACCGTTCACCTTTTCAAGTTTGCGATGAACCTTTGCCTTTTCTCCCTTGGCGAGGCCAATTAACATGTGAGCAATAGTCGCCGCATGCTGTGTAATTGGTGCGGCCATGTCCGACAGTTTGATCACCTCTTATTTCGTTATTGCCAGTTCCATGTGTGTCAACATGTCACTATTCACTGCACCTGCGTAATTTTCAACTGAAGCGACCCGTTTGGCCAATCAGCATTTGTGCCGGAAAACTCTTTGACATTCTTTTACAGAAGTTTCGTTTCGATTACGCCTTGTGCCATGTTTCACGCGTGATGTGTTTCAATCGTGATCGGGTTCCCTCGTGGATCGTCTAGCCGTTATTGGTTTACCACGCTTTGGCAGCCAAAGTTTGGCTACCATGAAAGAAGGAAACACTATATGGTATTGGGTTTGAGGTTCAAGCGCTGCGGACCTGCTAACTGATGCTACTACATGCTCATGCGGTGCTCTACCATCTGCCTGTCTTCTAACACCACCTCCTCCACCTCCTCCTCCTTCTCCTCCTCCTCCACAATTACTCAATATGAGTACTACTCTCCCTCTTCCCCTGATGACGGTTTGAAAGTGGCTGACCCCCCCCCCCGCGTACTGTCTGTTTACACACAGGTTTCCCCGGAGTTGGGTTTTCGCTGGCATTTTTTTCAAAATGCTGCTCTCGCTGAGGCGCCGGCCTCATTTTCGGGCCCCGCTCGTTCCGAATCGTGCTCCCGCTGCCTGGCCTCATTTCCGTGCTTCCGCTCGTTCCGAATCGTGCTCCCGCTGCAGCGCTGGCCTCATTTCCGCGCTTCCGCTCGTTTCGACTCGTGCTCCCGCTGCAGCGCTGGCGTCATTTCCCGTGCCATGCCACGGCATGCAATGCGATGTTAGGTTGATCCTACTCTTTGCGGTGCTCTTCTGCGCACATGCCGTGCTCTACAATGCATCGCGTACCCTTGGCTCCAAAAGCGCTCCAAAATGCCCCCAAAGAGCGCCCCGGGAGGTTCCAGGATATTCCCAAGAGGCCCCCCCCAGACGCCCACCAAAAGTCCCCCTTTTCTCTGGCCTGCTAGGACCTCGCCGCGACCCGGCTAAGACCCTGCCCAGCAAACTGGACACGCGGGACCCAGAGCTCCGACGTAGTGTTTTTCCACAGCGTCAACCCCACGCGGTCGATCTTCTGGTTCGACCCCTTCCCCTGGGCCGATTGTTCATCCCGGGTCGTTCATTGACGCTCCCGAGGCCCAGTGAGGGCCCCTGCAGGCCGAGAATTGATGAAAACCGTGCCGTGATTTTGCTACACACCGACAGGAGGCGGGCGGGGGGACGTGGCCAGCCCCCTGGGCGAGAGCTGGACAAGTTCTCGCGGCCGCACGCCCCTCCGGCGCCCAGCCCCCTCCGCGCCCAGCCCCCGTGGTCGTCGGTGGCCTCCGCACGCTCGCGCGCGCGCAGCCCAGCAATGGGGGTGCCTCCAGCCTCCCGCCCATCGGGGTCCCGCCACGGCTCTGCCCATCCAGGCCTCCCGCCCCCACCTCCCGCCGCGAAAAGAATACGACGGGCAGATTTTGGTAGCTTTCGGCCTCTGGTGGCCCCCCTTGGGCCGCGGGACCTTCAGACTTCGACACGGGATGGAAGCCGGTCTCGGGGAGGGGGTCCAGACCTTTGGGGGCCGGCGTTGTGGAGGATCGATTACGTCGAAGTCACCCCCGGCTGGGCTCGCGGGGGCGCGCGGAGTGGCCCTGGCAGGGTCCTTCCCAGAATTCCGGCGCACTATTTTTCGATCCTGGCGTTTCTCATCGATTTCGGCCTCTTGGGCCTGCTTTGGGCCCTGGGACCGTCCTAAACAGATCTGGAGCAAAAAACTACCCAGCTGGGGAAGGGGTCGGGACCTCTGAGGCCGCGCATTGGAAAAAATCATGTGGAACATCATGTCGTCGGATGTCTGGGTTTGGGTCAGACGACAGGGGGGCAGCAAAAAGCGGGCTCAGCAATCAGCTCACGCATATGGTTTTCCTAGCGCCGGCACTGGAGGGGCCCGTGCATCGAGGAAAGCGACCGGCGGCGGGCCCGAAACCAGGGACGTCCACGAAAATAGGTTCTGTATGGACGGCCACAGCTGTGCGCGGGGTTGCCGTTGTCGCCCAAGTGCCGGGGGAAGGAGATGCAGCCTCGCTAGCGGTCGGTGATGGCCTTCATCTTAGCACCGAGACGGCGCGGGCACGGTGTCAGCTGTGGTGCGAGCGCGCCGAGGTTGTTGCTTCCGCAGCCGTTTTGGCTTAATGGGGCCTCCGGGTCAAGCGCGCCTCTGGTTGCATCTGCGCGGTGCAGCCCCGTAGTCTCTGCAGTGTTCCCCTTGCAGCGATCGAGGCCCACATCGCGTGGTCGCTCGCCGTCGCCAGCGACAACGCCTTCTGTGCCAAGCCCTGCAACGTTCCCGAGCCTCACAGCAGGCCGATTTACGCGGCCCCGCCGGTGTTGATCGACTTGTCCCACCAGTGCAGCAGTGGCAAGCTGTCCCAGTGCGCCCAGTGGTGATGTGCCCGCTGGTCACCGTGTGGGCGATCGCGCGTGCGTGGTACTCGGCCAGCGCCCTGGCCGACTTCGACATCGTGCAAGGGCTCGCGGCGGCGCTGGAGCGCCAGAAGCAGACGGAGGCCGGCGGGAACGGAGAGCGTCTGCGTTCGGAGATGGGCGGTTCCATGTCGCCGATGCTTGGCCTGTCGGCCCCGCGCCACGCAGAAGACTGGCCACGCAGCTACATGCTCACAGGGTCGGACGTGACGATGTTCATGCAGGGCGGTGTGGACAGCGCCGTGCGGAAGTTGCAACTGAACGCCAAGATGAGCGGCCTCGAGCTGCTGAGGCGCAGGAGGCTGCAGAACCTCGACATGCTGCAGTGCACCTTCTCGTGCAGCTTTGTCGACTTGAGGCGCCAAACAACGACGCACCAAACAACGACCACTGCAACAACAGCACTGGCGACGACTCAGACAGCAACCCACCCCAGCGCGACACACCTGCCACAACTGACGTGCACAGCGAAGTCGGCGAAGTCTTCACTACAACAGACCTGCAGGAACCCTGGGTAGAGTATATACAGCGAGCGACACGACGTGCAGAATACCTCACGAAGCTCCACCGCATTGTCTACTGGGAGACGGTTCACAAGCGAAAAGTATGGCGAATGGCTTCAAGAGTCGCAAACCACACCCAAACACGTTGGACGCAACAAGTGACCCACGGCAGCGAGGACAGAGGCAGCACGGTCGTCAACATAAAAGTTGGGACGACGAAATCAACACTTGTCTACGCCAACGCAGACCAGACCTTCACCGACCGACCGCACACACCTGCGCGACAGGAGAACCAAACGACATTACATGGATCCAAACAGCGCAGGACACCGAAACATGGACGGCGCTCGAGCACCACTACGTCGACCCCACACCAGCAGACACCCAGAACCGAAGCCGATGACGCGCGAACGCCCAGCGAGACATCCCACGTCGACACCGACACCAAGGACTTCCTCCTCTTCCTCCCTTCCTTCCCACACAGGCTGACGCGATCGACCCCAAGGGCCATCCTCCCTCCGTCCCTCCTCCTAATTTTTGTTGCGTATTTGTCTCGCATTGCATATTGTCCACACACGCCAGATTCCCGAGGCCACGGCCTCGCCCACCCGGTCTTGAGTAGGCCCTGACGTTGTCCGCAATGGTAGTCGCATCGTACCGCAGGCAGGTGCCAGAGTTCCAGTTTGACATCCTAGTGGTCAAGATGGACATCGAGTTGAAATGCCTGAAGGGCCGCCAGAAGGCTTTCCACAAGGTGTTGCGAGACCAGCGTGAAATGCAGATATCTTATGGCTACGCAGGCATGGCTAGCTTTCGACGCCTGCATCTACCTCTTACAGGCCTTCGCCGTAGACGTACCGGAGGGTGCGCTGTCCTTCTTCCAGGCGGTGTCTCTGGGCAACTTCGTGCTCCAGCTGGGACTCTTAAACCTGTCCCTGGCCGCGCGGCCCACGGCGCTGCTCCTCTTCGGGTGCTTTCTCCGATGGTGTGGAGTCTACTTTGGCAGGCAGTGGAATGACGACCAGAGGTTGAACAACTGCAGGATTAGCGCCCTGGACCTATCCACCGGCAGGATCATGACGTGGGCGACGACCCAGGTCAAATGTAAGGCTCACTTCGTGGCGGACGAGGTGCTCTGCTTGCGAACGCATTTGGTGACCCGGCTGAAAGTCGCTGCGTCGATCAGCCCAGAGTTTCGTCCACGACGCTGCGCATGTGGCGTTTCTGACACACCTTAGTGTCGCAAACCTCGGGCTAGTGTATGGCTGATTTTTGTTTTCAGGACCGCTGCTCGTTCTGAGAGGGTCTCACGCAACCCCGATACTTCTGATTTCAGGCCCCCCTTTCGTCGGGAGAGGCTCTCGGGAGCGGCACGGCATCCACAAACGGTGCAAGATGCGTTTGCAAATAGTTCCAGCCAGCGCAGCGGGGCCCGTATTTTCACAAGTTCCGGCCAGCCGTATTTCTGCTTTTAGGTTTCCATGGGGAGACTCTGCATTTGAGTCCGACGACCTATCATCAAAGTTACCCAGCAGGACCCAGTTCTTGCAACAGCCTTGCCTTCTGACGCGTCGAGCTGTGGAACAAATACAAAACTATGTTAACTCTCTCTCCCTATCTCTCTCCTGCCCCCTCCGATCTGCAATTTCTTTCCTGCCTCACTTCCTCGTCCATTGCATCCTGCCCCTGCCGCTCCTGCCGCCCTTCGGGGCGGAACGCCCCCTCCCCGCCTGCGGAATTGTGGGCGGAATTTGGGTCGCGACCCCGTGGGCGGCACTCTTCCGTAGAAACTGAGCCCGCGAGGCGCCGCGGGCGGCGAGGCGCCCGCGGGCGCTCCCGGCGCGGAGGCGGCAGAGCTGCTCGCGCAGCTGGCCGCCGCGGGCGGCGACGCGGACCCGGAGCACTATCAGGCGGGCGCCGCTGTCGAGGGAGAGGGGGAACCCTCACGTTTTCCCGTCGCGAAGAAGCCATGGCGGGACGTTTTTGGCGCAGTTTTTTCCGGTAAGGGTTCAGGCCCGGGGCTCTTTTTCAGTGTGCGGGCCATAGGTCCTGTAGGGTGTCGAGCAGGTGGCGTCGGATTTGGGCACGCAACAATACGTGTGCGGAAGGGGGGTCTCCAATATGTGTCTCGTCGCGCATGCGTTTGGCATGTGCTTTCATGTGTTCCTGGCGGCAACGAGGCCCCCAGGGTGTTATCCACCTTAATCGCGTCGGGTTCTCTACGCGTAAACTGCGTGCGCGGAGGGGCATGTGCTTTCACGTGTCCACAGGGGCGCCATGCATTCAGCATGGTGTGGCGGGAGCGGTTCGCTCGAGACATCCACATAGTGGGGATGTTGGATGAGGTTCTTTTTCGACGCTGGTTTTCAACAGTGACGCTTTCGCTTGAGATATCCTCCGAAAGTAGAGATGTTGGAGAGCGGGCGTCGGATATACAACATGGTGTGTGTGTGTGGGGGGCGTTTCGTAAGAAACATCTTTACAACATGGGGATATTAGAGGGTTTATTGTCCGACGCTGGTTTTCAAAAATGTAGCTTCAGAGTCGCGCATGCGTTCGGCACGTGTTTGCGCATGCCAGCTTCATACGAATAAGTACGTGCGCGGAAGGTGTGTGTGTGTGTGTGGGGGGGGGGGGGGGGCAACATGCGCCTTGCGCGTGCGCGCGGGGCACGTGCTGTCAGCTGTCCACGGCCCCCAGGGAGAGTATCCAACTTTGGGCGGCGCACGCGCTTAGCACGTGTTTTCGCATGACCTTGGCGACAACGGGCCCTCCCGGGAGGTATCAATTTAGAAGCAGCGGATTCTTCACACGTGCAAATACGTGCGCGGATGGAGGGGGGCCAACATCGCTTGGCACGCGCGCGCGAGATACGTGTTTTCACACGCGTCCGCGGTTCCCAGGGGGCCGTCTAGGTTTCTGAACGCTTCCGGCGACTTTTCATCACTCCACGAGTTCTATCTGGATGTATTTCTTAATTTTGCTTGTTTTCCTTGTTATGTTTTGTCACATGAGGTTCACTTGTTTTTTTTTTAATGCCCGCCTATTCTTTACTAGTTGATTATACTTTGGTTTTTATCACTGTTTCGCTCATGTTCTGCCTCCTCTGCTGCGTGCAGACTGTCGTTATGTAGCCAGGACGCCCTCACATTCCAATGCAGCGCTGTACTTCCTGCTATGGAGCTTACCCAAAACGCTCGCGACTCAGGCGAAGTCCTCGCAAGCTTTACCGAACGCTACCAGGCGGTCCTCCTTCTTTGTCACGAACCAGTACTGGTACTCACGAACGTACTGCATCACACCAGATCGACGAATGTGCCGAGGTTTCGCCCATTGCTTGTAGTTGCCGAAGAGACCGTCCATGTATCGCGTGCTTTCCCAGACCTTCTTCCCGCCGATATTTAGCATTTTCGTTCAGTCTTCTTTTCCATGGACGACGGCAATCTGTTTGGCTCGGCTGTCGACTTGCGCCTGTTCACCAGGGAGTCGTATGTGGCAGTGGAAACTGTCTTTGGTGATGGTGAACCCAAAGCCGGGACGAAGACCTGCGGGAAATTGAGACAATGCATCAAGGGAGGCTCGACCAGATGCACATGTCCTGCGGCGTTCACCGCCAGAGAGGGGCGGAGGAGGGGAGGAAGGCTCGAGGGTCGAGGAACAGGGCTCCGAAGTACAGCAGAGATGTCGACTATCGAAATTTAATGTTCGAATCCAGCAGCCGCCGGGAATGGCCAAAAACCTTAGAGGACCTCCGGGTGCATCCAGGGACCTCCAGAGTAGCAACCTTCGCGGAGCTCCGGAGGCGTCCAAAGACCTCCAGAGGAGGGAGGAGGGGATTTTTTTTTTAAATAGAAAAAGGACAGTCACAGATTCCTTCAATGCTGAACCACGAAACCTGTGGTTTTTCACAAAAACAAACCTCTAGACATTCCAATTTTTTTTTTTGAAATTCAAGAGTTCTCGGGGTCCGAGATGGGGAGGACGGGCCGGACCCCTGCCAGGCTCTCCCGCCAGCTGTCCCTCCTGGAATTTGTAGATGTTTTATGGAAAGGCAGAAGGATTATTGGATTTTGTTTCATTGTTTTTCAATGACAATCACAGGTTTCTTTAAATGTCTTCACTGTTGGACCACGAAACCTGTGACACATCAAAGAATCACATTTCAAAGAATTCGAGTTTCGAAAGTTTTCGGGATCCGAGGCCGGGAGAGCGGGCCGGATCCATGCCAGGCCTTCCCGCCAGCTGCCCCCCTTGGAGTTCCTGTTTTCTGGATCGTCACTTTTTAATTTCATTGATTAATTTGATGACAGTTACAAGTTTCTCTAATGTTGGGCCACGAACCCTGTGACACCCGCAGAAAATTTCAAAACACATAAGAAATATAACGACGGTGGGACCCCACATGGACATATGTTGAGCCTGCCTTTAGCCCTTTCCTCCTCGCCCTGGCGGACACCCTCCTCTCGCCCTCTGCTCTGCCTTCTTTTCCTCTTCCTCCTTCTATTTATCTTCCTCCTCCTCCTTCTCCTCCTCCTTCTCCTCCTCCTTTTCCTCCTTCTCTACCTCCTCCTCATCATCACCCTCCCTCTCCCCTTCCCCCCTCCTCATTCTCCTCGGCGCCGTCGCCGCCTCGGCCGGCTCTCGCGCGTTCGTCGACTGCTAGATCGCGAAGCCTGTGGGACAATCCCGCGGGCCATGCCTTTGGGACAACCCCGCGGGCCGCTGGGGCGTGGGGCAGGCCGTCGGGACAACCCCGCGGTCAGGCCATTGGGACAACCCCGCGAGCCTCGAGGTGGGCGCGGCCGCGCTCAGGCGAAGGCGGAAAGCCCAGCCGTGCTGCGAGCTGCTCCGCCTCGGTTCTGGAGCTCTCCGAAATCTCGTCGAACTTCCCGAGCGCCTTCCGCAGGGACGCTGGCGGCCCGCGGCTCACGTGGGCAGACGCAGGGTCAGCATGTTCTGCATGCGCGTGGCGCGGGAGAACATGACGTCGAGGTGCAGCCACCATTGCCCGTCCGACGTGCCCGTGCGACCAGCGTCCTCATCCTCATCCCTGGCGCAGTCGACGGTGGCGCCCTCGCGCAGCGTCTGGCCTTGCGATTGCGTGGAGGTCAGGCGCGACGCGTGCGTCAGAGTGAACCCCGAGCGACGCACGACGTGCGGCCCCGAGCTCTGCCAGGTGGGCTCTTGATCTCTGGGCGTGAACCGACCTTCCATGCCGACGTGCGCTGGTAAGACGCCGTGGATGTCCCCCCCTTTTTTTTGCGCACGTTCGGGCCGGTCAGCAGGCGCATGCCCGCGCCTGGATCGCCTTGAATCCCGCTGCGCTCCTCTACAGCCTGTAGGAAAACGAGGGACACGCCCAGACGCCGCGCGTCGCGAAGAGCGCGCGTGTTGATCCACCTCGCGAGCGTCTCCCAGTAGATGCCCATGCCGTAGCCGAGCCGCAAGTTGTCGTGTTGGCGCCGAGGGTCCAGGACGCCGTAGATGTCCGAGGCCAACGTCTTCTCGCAGGCAGACCAGACCTCTGGTGGGAAGGGCTTGCCCTCGCGCGTGCAGCTCAAGAGCGCGATCAGAGGGCCCCTGGGTTCGAAGCGCTTCGTGCCCTTCAGTTCGAAGACGCAGTGGAACTGAGAGAAGACCCTGATGGGGTGCTGAATATCCACCGTCAGCGGCTCCGCGTACTTGTACGACCCGTCGTGCAAGGCTCCACCACCCGATGGGTTACCACCCCCGGCCTGGACGCGAGGGTTTCCCCCTGTGCGCGATTCGGTTGACGATGGGTCACCAGTGCCAACCCGGAGACAAGGGTTCACCCCTGCCCCCGATTCGGTCGACGATGAGTTACCACCGCCAGACCGGACGCAAAGGTTTCCCCCTGCGCCCGGTTCGGCCGAGGATGGGTTACCAACGCGCGCCTCCAAGGAGGATATCTAGTACCAGTATGTCTTCGTGCGTCCCATCTCACGGCGGTATTCGAGCGGACTCCTGAGCTGCATCCGCCCATGGCACGGAGCTTGCCGCACGCAGCGGCATGCGCGAGATCGCGCCTCTTTTTTCGCTGTCGCCAGTGCGTGCACCAGCGCAGGCAGCTGGGCAGACGCCGGTCGGGGTGACGACTGCGTCGGCGATGGGGGAGGCCGGAGGTCTTTCTTGAGGCCTCCTGGAGGTCCGCGGAGCCCTTCAGGGCACAGAGCGGGCCAAGCGGACAGGACAGGTCAGGACAGGAAAAAGCCGCGCTTACACGGCGCATCGGCACACATTGGCATGAAGACAAAGGCCAGAACATGTGCAGAACATGCTGCTGAATGCACGCGCGCCGGGTCACAGCCAGTGTACTTAGACCAGTGATGGGCGGCGGGTACCATTACACTCGCACATCGCACACTGAACATGCAAGTGGGCAAGGGGAAAGGAAGCGCGGAGCGGAAGGGAGGAGAGGAGAACAATCTTACACACAATAGTCGTCCACGGGCCAGGCGGGGGTCAGCCTTCTTCGAAGGCCTCGATCCTTGATGGGAAGGGGGGCTGCTGTGGCCCCCGAGGGCGGGGGCCTCGATCGGGACCACCCTTTGATCGATAGCCTCGAAGATGGCCCCTGTAGGCGCTCCATGGTTCCCAAGAGAGCCCCAAGAGAGCCCCAAGAGGGTCCCAAGAGGGTCCCAAGAGGGTCCCAGATGGCACCCGAGAGGCCCCCAAGAGGCCCCCGAGCGGCCTCAAAGAACCCAAGATGACCTCCAAGATGGCTCAGAAAAAACCTAGCTGGCTCAAGATGGCTCCCAAGATGCTCCAAACCGCCCCGAAACCGCTCCAAGAGCGCCCAAGAGCGCTCCAAGAGAGCCCCAAGAAGCGGTTTGCCGGCTCCTGAGGGGGGAGCTGAGTTTGGGACCCCCCCCATCCTGTAACCTCAGGA